TATAAATACACTAAATCAGTATAGTATTATTCAGAAGTGTCTAACACTTGATTCAGATGTTGTATTTATATCGCTTGTGTCATCATTTTTGGCTGCAAAGTTTATTTCAATGTTTGTTTCATGTGAGTCATGGTCGTCTTCTGTTTGTTGGACATGAAGCAAGACAAAATCAGTTACTGAAGGTTTGATATCTTTGTTTTTGCAGGTTTTCTCGAAACTTTTCTAGTAATATTCCTTTCTATATATAATAAAAACACTGTATCTGGTGAACAAGTTGTTGATAATATTATAAAGAAGGCTAATCAGCGACTTATATTTTTATATAGATATAAAGAATGTTTTCTTCAATCTAGAAAAACATTGTGTACTCCATTAATACAATGACATCTTGATTATGCATGTGCTTGTTGAAATGAAGGTTTATCCAAGAAACTTAAAGACAAGCTTCAGGTTATTCAAAATAAAGTTATGAGGTTTTATACTATATCTTCCTCAGAGAAAACGAATCACTGTAAATGAATTTGAAAGATTGGGATTATTGAATGTTTGTAACAGAATGAAACAACTTTGCCTGAATCATGTATTTAATGTTTTTCACGACAAATGTCCAGAATAATTATAAAACGGTTTTTCAAGAACTTCCTCGAATAGGAATACTAGAACAACTGCTTACAATTTTTATGTTCCAAATGTCAAATGTGTAGAATCTTCTTTCTGTTTTAGTGGGATTAAAAACTGGAATGTTTTGCCAGATCATGTAATAGGTATTTATGTTAATTCAAAAATAAATTTAAGTATGAAGTAAAAAACACCTAATGAGTAAACTCAGATCAATGTCAGATGCAGGTTTTATATCTTATTAGATTGTTTTTATACTAATGTTTTAAGCTGTGATTCATGGATACTATTTATTGCTGTAAAATTGGATCAGTTAACATTTCAAAACATAATACCTATTTTGTTATTATATGTAATCTTCAACTCGATATTCACATCTTACTACTCGATTCTAACTTTTCTTAACTCGATTATCTCGTTTTGTAACTCGATATTAACTTTCCATAACCCATAGTCATTTTCAAGATTCGATATTAAAATAAGAAGATAATAATGATTGCCAATGAAACAATTCTCCACTAAAGACCAAATGATGAAGACTTTGAGCAGCTATAGGTCACTCACCGTACGGCCTTCAATTATGAGCAAAACCCATAACGCATAGCAAGCTATACAAGGCCCCGAACCTCAGTTTGGAAAAGTTTAGGCTATCCTTACTTTTTACAGCTTAATATTTATTCGTTTAGTAAACTCGAAACTCACTTGTCCTCAATCAATACTTCTGATACTCGACAAAACAGAAATCCTCCAGACAAAGAAAGGCGGAAGATACCACAGGTAAACTCAACCTGAAACCGGGGTTGATTGCAGGTGCCCCGAAAGGGTAAACAGATTCTGCTCCACATGTTGCAAACGTCGTATCCATGGATATATGTGACTCAGATTTTTCATAACGGTCAACCAACTCTTGATGGCGTTCGTAACATTTTTGAAGGGATGATTTCAACTTTACTACCTGAAACCCTTGGTTTAATAGCTTCCCTGTAAGCAGCGACTCTCTATCACGAAAACATGATCGGAAACGTAAGCTCTAGAATATCGTATCAACAAAATTATAGTCCAACAATTCTCATGTATACCCAGATATACTTTCGATTGATAGCTGTTCCCTATTCTGAAATCCATCAATCAAAAACCTGATAAAAAATCCTGATACGTCACAGTAACTTTATTCTCACGGGACTTGAGTCTTAGCTTATGTTATATGGTACGTTTGAATCTCTCTGGCCGTTATATGGGACTGTTGAATCTCTCTGGGCCGTTATATGGGACGGTTGAATTTTTTTTTTTACGATTTAGAATATAAGTCATCCCGTGATTTATTATTGATTTTGGCAATTGTGAGATACAGGTTACACGGTGTGCTATGTACCATATGAAACCTCCTTGGACACTTCAGCATTTTTATGGTAGGGGTCAGTAGCCAACCCTTTCATACAAAAAAATACACTATCATATAGGAAAATTTTTACAATGAATATACCTTTAGCTATCATAGTTGCGCTATAAGACATCAATCGTTTTGACAAATATCAAGCATTTACGACAGTGGTTTTATTGAAATATAATCAATATAAATTAAATTCATTTTTTGAATAGATAAGTATTGCATTTATATATTTTTTTTATTTGTTGATTGTTACAAGCGACATATTAAACCGGTTGTATATCATTTTGATAAAAAATTGTCGTCACCATATTTTTTTTTCTAGTCTTAAAATTAAAAAATGGGCCAAACAAATAAAGACTGGAGAGAAATGTGCGAAAGAAAACGAGAGAAAAAAATCAAAGGAAAGCTTAATTTCACAGAAGAGAGAATAATGAGCCCTAAAAAACAATGTTTACAGATAAAGTATTGACTTCATAAAAACTGCCTATGATATTATGGAATATAAAGATATGAAGCTCTCGCTAAATTGAATGACACTCCATTATATTGGAAGTTGGTTAAAAAGAAGATAGTCTCATCTCCTGAGTCTAAAAGTTCATTTGTAACTAAAGCGTTCATGTGTGTAAAATACAAATGTATGATGTTTTTCTTGGAAAGTCAAACATAAGCTGACACATGCTACAACTTTTACAGAAATTCTCATCTTAAATGTCCATCATTTTCTCCATGATATTGAATATTTAAGTATAATTCTGGCTATATTGAAATTGAACGATATTGTCATATATAATTTTTGTTTTGTTTTATTAGTCTTTGAATTAATTACAGTATTCGCTGCTTCACAAGGGAGACTACTTTTCCTATGAACTTTGACCTCGTGTGGCGGTATTAACCTTTCCTTTTATGTTTTATTGTGTTCCTTTCATTAACTTTAATATTTACCAGTTTTCTTACTATTTGCCGACGCCTGAATATCTATGAATTAAGAACATGAAAGTATTAGTACAAAAAAAGTTAAATTTTGAATAGAACAAGGGGAACTACTAACTAAGTAACTGTGAATATATAAAATCTGTTTTAAATACAGATCCTGTTTTCATGCTCTTTTGACAAGGATCTGACAAGAGAGGCGAATGATACCAAAGGGACATTCAAACTCACAAGTCGAAAATAAAGTGACAACGCCATGGCGAAAAAGAAATAGACAAACAAACAACAGTACACAAAACACAACATAGAAAACCAGAGACTGAGCAACACGAACTCCACTTAGTCTAAAAACTGGGTGTGATCTCAGGTTCTCCGGAAGGATAAGCAGATCCTACTCCACATGTGACACTCGTCGTGTTGCTCAAATCTACCTTCTGTTTCTAATGATCATTGTGTCCACCAATGAAAGTTCCGCCTTTATTTTTTTGAAAGGATGTATAATTAAGACAATTCCCGAGGATCCTTTTCCTTTATCATGGTAAATGTCATTTTCACTATGTGATAGCCTGTTATTTTATGTATTTTGTATATTTTTATATTCTTAGTATTTAGTATTAGTACATACTTGAATAAAGTTATATTGTTAGCTTATTAATTACATTTTGTAATTAAGGATTAGCATTGTGTATTATTCTATTTTAACTTATTGACATGGACTATTGACGGAAGAATTCTCATCTCATGTTTTGGTTAAGTCTGATTTCACTGTAGTTAGTACTTTATTTTCACGGTTGATTTGAGCGCTATCGTACATTTCTTCTATTGGTCAGTACATTTGGCGGTTTAATTCTTTTTGTTCTAGATCTTATGGGAAGACATCTTGTGGTCAACACCTATATATTTACCTGTCTGCAATTTAACAACTTGAAGATATTAATATCTTAGATAACAATTCTGTGATTGGAAAGTTTCTTATATAAGGTCAGTCTTATTCTTTCTTTATTAATTTTGCAATAACTATCCAAAAGTTCATATTTTACACGTATGCATGTTTAGATTGAATGTCGAGAACGAGTGTTAAATTTTATAACAAAAGAGATCGTAAATGTATTTAAAACATAAGAAGAGTAGAATTTTATGATCAGATATAATCATACTTCATTAACCTATTTAAATCTGGTATAATAATTTAAAGATAAAACTTTACGTATAAAAACTGAATGAATGCACGTATCGAGCGGCCCGGTATGAATGCGGTAATTTTTAAAGGTTAATCGAATTAAAGTAAATATATCTTAGAGCTAAAAATAGATATCTAGGTTTAATATTGATTTTTATAGTAAACATGAGTTTGTACTATAAACAATAAATAATGCTTAACAACGAATTGTAATAATCATTTTTGTTATACAGGTATATTTAAACCTTGCCAAAGATGTAGTATTCGATATCTAATGGTTTATATGGAAATGTGCCACTTGCACGATATGTGAGGTACGCTAAGTGTATTTGTATTCTTGTTTCGCTTAGCTTTAGTTTTTAATATTTGCTTTGCTATATTGTTACTTTTTGTGCTTATTTGCTTTTTGATTTAACCAAGCACGCAGCTTACGTTTTTGTGTAGTTTATGTTACCAACACAAGTAATATTTATAGTAGACATTGATATGAGACAGCATATGAGAACATGTACTATAATATCTTGAGTCTAATTGGTATAACTGTAATTGAGACAAGTAATGGCTTTTGTATCCACAGTATATATTTTTGTGACTAGATACATAAGTATGCAGCTAAATAAGTTTGCATGATAATGAATTACGAACATTAGTTTTAATTATTACTTAGTAAACAGATTTATCTATCTGTAACTTATAAGTACATTTATATTTTACAGGGCTGTATTTACATATTCATATAGTTACTTCGTTTCGTCTGAATAAAAGTTACAGAACCCTAGATTGAAGTTAGTTATTTATTACTAAAAGCCTGAGGAAAACCGGCTTTTAAATTGGCGCCCAACGTACTTAGGAAGCTTTAATCAGTGACGAAGTAGAAACCAAGAATATATTCTGAACTGACAACGATAGTGAATCCGTACGGAAAAATTACATACGCAATACCGGAAACTGATCAGTGACGTATATCAACATAACCGGTTCATGAACTAGGACGACAAAGAACACATTTTTCGTTGGTTTCATCTTGATCAACAAACATTATTGCTGGATTTATTGAACATATTAGTATTATAGTAAGTTCATATATACTTATAATTAATTGCCTGATAATATACATTGTATAAATCTAGTTGTGTAGCATTTATCGTATGTAGAGACTTTAAAATAATTGAAATTGGTGTTTGAAAAATTTGTCCAATTTTTATTTTGTAAACATTACACACCGAAAAGCGTTAGCATTACTGACACTGAGTTAACATAAAACTCAATTGAATACAAGCATACAAGAGTCCTTTATTGAGATTTAATTCATATTTAGACATTTACATTAAGACTTTGTACTTTGTTTATTTGTTTGTTGTAACTTGACCCCCCCCCCCCCTAAAAAAGACCACACCCATATGTATAAGGTCAAGGTCAACCGGTAGTACACTGGATAAAGCTGTCTAGACATACACCACATGTAAACAAACACATTTATTTATACACAGAGAGTGACATACATCTAGAATTGGTATTTTGCATTGAATATTATACACATTGATTGTGTTTGAAATATTTATGTCACATTAAAGCAAAACCAGACTTTGTTAATTTACGCATACACTTTGATAAGTGAATACAGTCCAACTTTGTTTAGCACACATACATACATACATACATACATAGTCATAGGGTTCTTTGATTTTGATTGATATTAACAAAAATAAATTCAGACAGATTTTGTGAATTTTTGTTGTCGTGTGTATATGATATTTTTTGTGTGTGACTTTGTTTATTATCATTGTGTCATTTGTGTTTTATGTTGATTGTGCAAGTCCTATGTAGTATATAGTTGTTTACATGTATTAGTGTTGTATACTGTACATTGTGTTGTGTTGATTGTGTATATTTGTTTGTGAATTTAAAATTTCTGATTTGATTTAAAATTTAAAATTTAATTTTCAATTTAAATTTAGAAACATCAGATAAATTTATCATACAAGTTAAACATTTAAATAGTAACTTAATATATTAAAGTTAAAATTTGTACGCATAGTAGTTAAACTTGTTTGAGTGTAAAGTTGCATGTTCCTTTATAACAGGTAGTTCTTTAACAACTGCACCACCTATCCATACTCCTAAACTTTACCTATTGCATGTAATACACATACATCCATTTCAACTTCTGATTTTTTTTTCCCTGATTTTCTTGACTGTATTTTTTTCAGTATAGGATAGTTCTTAGGATTTTGATTCTGATTTAAGTTGACATTTGAGACTTAGACTTACTTGACAATTTGATTTGATATTCAGAGTAACATACTAGTAAGTATTGTTGTTTCATAGTTTTAGATTGTGAACGTAAAAGATTCACATATCTATTACACACTTTTGTAGGTAGAAGCAGATTATTTATATTATTATAGTTTGGTAGGTACATTTGATAAATTGTATATATATATATATATAGTATATTTTGATATACTGGGATTGAGATTAGATCTTTTTGATATTTGGTATATAGATTTTTTTTTTGATATTTGGTATACACATACACACTGATATGGCCAAGAAGGGAGAAACCGAGGAGGTCCCTATTGAACAACCTACTACTCCATTAGTTGAGAATCCACTACCTGCACTACATGAGATCATGGAAGCATTTGCCAAGACAGGAGTCAAACCAAAGGCTGATACACCTGAGGACCTAACTAAATGGATGATAGACTATCTAAAATCTACTGGAGCCATCAAGTTAGAACAGGTTAATCCAGAGCTGGTATTACCATCTCCACCTAAGGCACCACCAAGGGAAAAATCCAACAAAGTAGTAATGACGCACCCACCAAGGATTTCCAACTTTTCTGGAAACGAACCTAAGTCAGGGAACACCACCTATGAGTTATGGAAGCAGGAAGTAAAGTTGCTGATGAAACAGTCATATGAGAAGGAAGCCATCTTGAATGCTGTTCGAAGGTCACTAAGAGGGGAAGCTGGATATGCAGCCATGCGACTGGATTTAGATGCATCAGTTGAGGAAGTCATTCATAAGCTAGACTCTATTTATGGGAATGTCGACAAGAAGGAAGAACTTTTGGCAGAGTTTTATGGATCACGCAAAAAAGAAGACGAAACTGTCACCAGCTGGAGTTGCCGTTTAGAATCACTCATGGGACAGGCAGTAGAGAGAGGTATTGTTGGAAGACAGGATGTAGATGGTATGCTTCACTCCATGTTGTTGACTGGTCTGAGAACATCACTCAAGGTTATCTCAGGACACAAGTATGACACCATCAAGGATTTTGATGCACTGAGAGTTGCACTTCGCCAGATTGAGAATGATCACTTGCACCGAGAATTATTAAGCAAGCCTTCCAAACCACAAACCAGTAAAGCAGCAATTGAACAATCTGATGTTGAGGATATCAAAGGAATGATACAGCAGATGACAACTAGAATGGACAGTTATGAAAAGAAATTGGACCAACAAGAAACTCCCTGGCAACAACAACCATCCACATGGCAACAACCTACCTGGCAACCAAAGCCTTGGCAACAACACTGCAAGTAGGATGGCAACAACAGAGAGGTAGAGGTAGAGGATTTGGTAGAGGACAAGGACAACAACAGACACGTGATGAACCTCAATGTTGGAGATGTGGACAAACTGGACATTATAAAAGAGGTTATGCTGTAAGAATGGACCACAGCAGAAAGAATTTAAACGGCAAGAAGTCTATGAAGGGGGAGCATCCATAGGCTTATGTAGAAGTAGTGTTCCCAAAACCAGCTATGTAAAAGTACCACCGGGATTATTTGGTAAACCAAAAGAAACTAAAGTTTGTATTCAAGGCTTAGAAACACCTGCACTTCTTGATACTGGTTCCACCGTCTCAACTAACAGCGAATCTTTTTACAGGGAACATTTAACAACACCATTGAACAACATAACAACACTACTAGATATTGAATGTGCTGATGGCCAGAAACTACCATACTTAGGCTACATAGAAGCAGATCTACAAATACCAGGGTATAAACAGATACACTCATCTATCCTGTTAGTTACACCAGACAGTCGATACAATCAGCAAGTACATTATTACTAGGAACCAACACTCTGACATACTTTATGGAATCTCTCAGGAAGGACTTTGGAGAAAGATTTTTACAGACTAGTAAGCTGACTACATTCTGGTATCTTACATTCAGATGCGTAATACTTCAAGAAAAGGAACTAAAGAAAAACAACAACATCTTAGGTCTTATAAAGAATGCAGAAGTTAAAAAGATCATTGTACCACCGAACACTACCATCACATTGTCTGGATATGTTGACAAGGAAGTTCCATACCATACTACACCAGCTATGCTCCATCCTTGCAAATTAGCCAAAGATTCGGAAGACTTTGATGTTGAACCATCTTTGATTACATACCAACACCAACAGAACGGGACAGTGACTGTTACCATAGAGAATTTGACAACAAGAACACTGAGTATACCACCGAAGGCAATAGTATGTGAATTACAACCAGTCCAACTAGAACCTTCACCAAGTTTACCATCTGAAGAGGAAATTACTGACATTATGGAGAAGATAAAGATTACACAGTGCACATTAACAGATGAACAACTAGATGCAGGAGTTCAACTTCTACGCTCATACATGGACATCTTCTCCAAGACTGATGAGGACGTAGGTCGTACAGATATTGTGAAACATCGCATCGATATGACAGATGATAGACCTTTTAAGCAACGATACAGAAGAATCCCTCCATCAGTATATGAAGAAGTTAGAGATCATCTTCGACAACTCACACATGCAGGGATTATTAGACCATCTAAGAGTCCATTTGCCTCCAATGTAGTTCTCGCCAGAAAGATGGATAACAGCCTACGCCTGTGTGTTGATTATCGTCAGCTCAACAATAGGACGAAAAAAGATAGTTATAGTTTGCCGAGGATTGAAGACCTGCTTGATTGTCTCTCTGGAAGTACCTTTTTCAGTGAAGATCATAGATGGCGTATTATATCGACAGGTAACTATCAACGATGAAGTTAAACAACAGCTAGTACTTCCAGCAGCACGTGTTTTTACAACACTTCAGGCACTGCACAACGACATGGGACACCCTGGCAAAGACCGTACATTGTCATTATTGAGACAGATTTTACTGGCCTGGTATAGCCAAGGATGTTGAAGAATGGATAGCACATTGTGGAAGGTGCATTCGAAGAAAGACACTTCCAAACCAGAGAGCTCCACTAGTCAGTATTGAGACAACAACACCACTACAGCTAGTGTGTATGGACTACCTTACTTTAGAGCCATCCAAAGGAGGTCAACAGCACATCCTGGTCATAACAGATCACTTCACCAGATTAACTCAAGCCATTCCCACAAAGAACCAAACAGCAAAGACAACAGCTGAAGCCTTCTATCAACATTTCATTATGCATTATGGAATACCCGACCGGATACATTCAGACCAAGGGGCTAACTTCGAATCATAAAGGAGTTATGCAGTATGAGAGGGATGACCAAGTCACGTACCACCAGTTATCATCCGATGGGGAACGGGATGTGCGAAAGGTTCAACCGAACTCTACTTAACATACTGGGGACACTTCAACCAGACAAGAAGAAGAACTGGAAAGCTTATGTAGACCACTTGTCCACGCATACAACTGTACCAAGCATGAGTCTACTGGATTTCCACCATACTACCTTATGTTTGGAAGAGATCCCAGACTTCCAGTGGATGTAGCATTTGGCATAAGCAAAGAGACAGGATCCAAATACATCAAGGACCTCAGAGAACGTTTGGAATTTACGCACAACTTAGCTACTGAAGCGTCGAAGAAAGCACAACTGAAACAAAAGAAGAACTATGACACCAGAGTAAAGGGAGCTACCATCAAGAAAGGAGATTTAGTCCTGGTGAAGATAGTTGCATTTGAAGGCAAACACAAATTATCAGACAAGTGGGAGCAAGATCCGTATGTTGTACTTGAACAACCGAATCTGGACATACTAGTCTTCACAGTGAGAAAGGAGAGTGGAGAAGGACGTAAGAGGAACCTCCATAGAAACTTGCTGTTGCCAGTGGGTCACCTTGTAGAACCAACTAAGCCAGTACCTAAACCCAGAAAACGAACCAAGAAGGAACCACCGAAACCTGCACCTAGAATATCCAAGAAACCGAAGCAAATTATCCGGAATCATCTGATGATGAGGATATTATAGATATTATATTGGAACCATTAGTTGAGGATGACAGTGATTCAACCATCACTTCAGATATTACTCAGCCAGTTGTTATTCCAACAAGCAACGTGGATACAGAAGATGATTCTGAATCCGAAGGGTACGCCCACTCTCATGACACCATTGGGACAGATTCAGATATCAGCGACAGAAGGCCTTCACAAGAGGTGACCAGTGACAATCAGGAGAATATTTCTGACAGTTCGTCATCATCGTCACCTGTGAGTATTCGTCGGTCAACCAGAACAAAGAAAGCACCTGCTTGGATGACGTCAGGAAAATATAAGCTTTCTAAGAGTGCAAGTCACACCACCACTGCAGATTGGTTTCAGAGGGTTCAATGCCTTTCATCTTTAGCAGACACTCATTTATTTCATGGAAAACAGGCACAAGCAGCACAGGCAATTATTGATATCATTTCAACAACAACCACACACAGGAAATGACGGGACGTCATTTCACGGCTGGAGGGAGTATGTGATAGCATGTTATTTTATGTATTTTATGTATTTTGTATATTTTTATATTCTTAGTATTTAGTATTAGTACATACTTGAATAAAGTTATATTGTTAGCTTATTAATTACATTTTGTAATTAAGGATTAGCATTGTGTATTATTCTATTTTAACTTATTGACATGGACTATTGACGGAAGAATTCTCATCTCATGTTTTGGTTAAGTCTGATTTCACTGTAGTTAGTACTTTATTTTCACGGTTGATTTGAGCGCTATCGTACATTTCTTCTATTGGTCAGTACTTTTGGCGGTTTAATTCTTTTTGTTCTAGATCTTATGGGAAGACATCTTGTGGTCAACACCTATATATTTACCTGTCTGCAATTTAACAACTTGAAGAAATTAATATCTTAAATAACAATTCTGTGATTGGACAGTTTCTTATATAAGGTCAGTCTTATTCTTTCTTTATTAATTTTGCAATAACTATCCAAAAGTTCATATTTTACACGTATGCATGTTTAGATTGAATGTCGAGAACGAGTGTTAAATTTTATAACAAAAGAGATCGTAAATGTATTTAAAACATAAGAAGAGTAGAATTTTACGATCAGATATAATCATACTTCATTAACCTATTTAAATCTGGTATAATAATTTAAAGATAAAACTTTACGTATAAAAACTGAATGAATGCACGTATCGAGCGGCCCGGTATGAATGCGGTAATTTTTAAAGGTTAATCGAATTAAAGTAAATATATCTTAGAGCTAAAAATAGATATCTAGGTTTAATATTGATTTTTATAGTAAACATGAGTTTGTACTATAAACAATAAATAATGCTTAACAAAGATTTATAATAATCATTTTTGTTATACAGGTATATTTAAACCTTGCCAAAGATGTAGTATTCGATATCTTATGGTTTATATGGAAATGTGCCACTTGCACGATATGTGAGGTAAGCTAAGTGTATTTGTATTCTTGTTTCGCTTAGCTTTAGTTTTTAATATTTGCTTTGCTATATTGTTACTTTTTGTGCTTATTTGCTTTTTGATTTAACCAAGCACGCAGCTTACGTTTTTGTGTAGTTTATGTTACCAACACAAGTAATATTTATAGTAGACATTGGTATGAGACAGCATATGAGAACATGTACTATAATATCTTAAGTCTAATTGGTATAACTGTAATTGAGACAAGTTATGGCTTTTGTATCCACAGTATATATTTTTGTGACTAGATACATAAGTATGCAGCTAAATAAGTTTGCATGATAATGAATTACGAACATAAGTTTTAATTATTACTTAGTAAACAGATTTATCTATCTGTAACTTATAAGTACATTTATACTTTACAGGGCTGTATTTACATATTCATCACGATTCACGAGTTGAATTTTTTGTCAATCACGATTCACAGAAAATACATTTCCCTGATCACGGATCACGAAAATATAAAAAAAAATAAATCTGTAGAAAAACGGATCACGTTAGCGAAAATGCGCCGATCACGAAGAACGAAAATAACCCATCAGGCCCCTCATGTATTGATCTGTTTATCATATGATTTAACAAAATCAGATTCTAGATATATTAGGGGACAACCATTTGATTCTGAGTTGGGGGCCTGGCAGATTTTAGAAATAAATATTCTGTCCCCCATTTAGATGAAAATAAATAATCTTGTCTTATCACAAATGAAAATAAATATTCTGGCCCCAAATACATTTTTGTATTCATTTACAAAGGTATCCAATATTAACAGAAAATCTGGAACGAAGTATTATCAGTTGTTGTTTTGAAGGGATACGCAGTGAACAAATTTAATTTCGTTTATGAAATCTAAAAAAAATAAATAAAAAAAATAGACTCGCTACTCTCGCCAGAGATTTTACCATTTTGGGTAATGAGACCCTTCTTTTCGTGGATCCACCCTCGATTGTAATGGTATTATATTTTCATATTAATAGAATATATATATATATATTCGAGACTTCATTTTGACTGCTCTATTTGTTTGAAGTTGTATGTGTATAATATATAAAGGTGATCTGTATCACAAAAGATAAATTAAAATTACTTTCCGGGTGAAAGTTGATGCTGAGGGGTGACGAAGAGGGGCAGGTTTGGAGTCAATTTGGGGATGATCAGAAAATAAATATTCCTACCCAGGCGGAGTGAACATAAATAATCTGGCCGCTTTTATATTTGAAATAAATATTCTGACCTCATAAAATTTGCTAGCTCCCTCTCCCATCTCCCCTCAAAACTAGATGATCGTACTCTAACAGACTGCTGCTTATCCCTCTTACTGGCGCTTATTTAATGTGGTTATATTTCGTATCATGTCAGGGAATACAGCAACTTGACGTCATATTTCCACCTCAGCCGTCATTCGATATATGACGTCGCGCCCTGATGACGTAACATTGGAGACTTATTGAAGCCTCGGAAAAATATTAAACTATATGATCTTTAGTCTTTTATTTGAAAGACATGCGATAATGAATAAGTAATTGCATTAATCAAATATATGGACACATGTGTCCTTCCGGCAGCTTGAAGAGTGTCAAAATCATTGTCGTCTTCTGAAATTTCAAGCGGGTAACAACTGAGGAGTTCCGGAAACAATCTCGAGATGTTCCAAAAGGGGTGCGATGTGTGGTATGCGATGCAGGGTAGATGATACAGACTGGAGTCAAGAACCTTTATTACATATACAAAATTTCTGTATTTAGTACTAATTATATGATAAAGATTGATAATTCACATTTCACACACTCAGGTTATTACGTCAATAAATATACGTTTAGATTGGAATTTCCCCTGTTATTGTTTCACTAACATTGTGAAAATCGGAAAATTGTTAAAATGGTCTGTAGTTTGAATACTTAAGGTAGATCATAAGTATATATTTCTTGAGATAGAATTTTCTTATACTTTGCCAAAATGAGATTTTACTATGCTTTTTTTTAAAATATAATAAAAAGTATGGGTCACCGTGCTATTTTCCAAGCTATGAGTCGTTGAAAATTGCCTAAATTTGGTTAGAATGTTCATGAAAAAACTCATTTGTGTGCTTAAAAAAAAATCTAAGAGATAGAATTTTGAAATAAATTGTGAGAAGATAGGTTTTATAATATGTTTTAAGAAAATGAAAAAAAGACATTTCAAGCGGATAACAACTGAGGAGTTCCGGAAACAATCTCGAGATGTTCCAAAGGGGGTGCGATGTGTGGTATGCGATGCAGGGTAGATGATAAAGACTGGAGTAAAGAACCTTTATTACATATACAAAATTTCTGTATTTAATACTAAATATATGATAAAGATTGATAATTCACATTTCACACACTCAGGTTATTACGTCAGTAAATATACGTTTAGATTGGAATTTCCCCTGTTATTGTTTCACTAACATTGTGAAAATCAGAAAATTGTTAAAATGGTCTGTAGTTTGAATACTTAAGGTAGATCATAAGTAAATATTTCTTGAGATAGAAATTTCTTATACTTTGCCAAAATGAAGATTTTACTATGCTTTTTTAAAAAATATAATAAAAAGTATGGGTCACCGTGCTATTTTCCAAGCTATGAGTCGTTGAAAATTGCCTAAATTTGGTTAGAATGTTCATGAAAAAATACATTTGTGTGCTTAAAAAAAAATCTATAAGATAGAATTTTGAAATAAATTGTGAGAAGATAGGTTTTATAATATGTTTTAAGAAAATGAAAAGAAAAAATGGTGTCACCGAACTTGTTTTCTTGCTACAAGTAAAAATTGAAATTTTCCCTATCAGTCCAGTATATAATTTTTACTAAAAGAGTTATCTCCCCTTAAATGGCTTATTTGACAAAATTGATTCTAAAAACACAAAATTTGATATTTGTGTAAATATTTTGAGTTATACAATAAATCACCAAGTTTTCTTTATATAAATAAACAGTCTAACCAATAAATTGCAAATCTGTCTCCAAATTTGCAGATTTGGGCAAATAACTAGACCGATTTTGTACTGGGATTATACAATCCAAGATGGCGATATACCATGAATCTACCTTAAGGGCATACGATACAGTTACAGGGGGGGGGGGAGGGGGGGGTAATGACGTTGCTAACGTAAAATGTTACTTTCGCGACGTCATCCTGTAACATATCGGGAAAAGATGCATTTTTCGACTGATTTTTATCATTCAGACTGATTTAATTTGAAAACGAGTTCATAGACTCCTCTTTTTTAAAATGACATAAGGTTTGACTACTTACAGTTGGAAAGCAGGTCACGGTTTGACCCCAAGTCTATCAGCAACAATAGAGTCATGTGACCGTGAAAATTCCGTAAAACTACGGATGAGACAAACCTCACTTTTACTCACTAAAATACCACTGTCATGGTAAAAACTTATTGATCAAAATAATCTTGAATATACATAGTTTTAACTCGTCAAAACTTACACATCAACTCAAAGTCCTTTATTCTTTATTTTATCTTCAAACTTGAAGTTTGTGTGAAAATTGTCAAAGCTCCTGATCGAAAAATCGAAATATTTTCGAGGAAACTAAAAATGATGGGCTGAATTTGAATTTAATAAAGCATCTCATTAAGACAAACACTCGATATGAATATTTAGGCAATACAGTTTTGGATACGCAAACGTCAAGTTATGTTCAACACGAAGCGGTGGTTTTTTTTGCCGATTTGTGCAAGTGGTTATCTCCCCTTGATATCACCAGTCAAAAATAAAAACCCACCAAAATGAATAAAAAGGAGTTTATTTTACAAAAATCAAGAAGAAAATAAAAGAAAGTCGATTAACAACTATGTTATTATAATATTAAGAAGAGATACTTCTCTACTTTTCAGAGAAGGATTACAGGTAAAAATTAAAAGATAAAAAATTGGTAAAAATTAGATCTAGAAACCTAGCTGAATTGATATAAATTAGCTCTGGCTGATGAAATTTACTTTCAGTTTGCAATTTTTATAATGGGATATGGGATCACCCCTAATGGATTTTTTAACTACTTCTCACAATGTTTAATGCAATAAAACATACTGTATACAATTTAAATAATATTTCTGAAAAAAAATAGTACTGACCATTTCAATGATATTTTATATTTTGATAAAGTGGGACCAAGAGTCAAAATTTAGTTTCTTCAAAGTAAAAAAGCCTTTTAACTCAAGCCTATGTTTCTTAGTTGAACAGTACAGTACTGCCTAGAAAATATCCTACAGAAAAAGGAAAAGTTTACCAAAAAAATGACAAAAATTCTGTAAAAAAATAATGCTTAAAATTATAAGTGAAAGTGACATAATTTTGAATTTTAAAATCATTATTATTGTAAAATTCAACTATTCAGTAGGACAACCGGAAGCGCCTGAGTATTGATTTCGGTGCTCAGTGATACGGTTCATTAGACGACGTTGTCAACACGTAATGGCGGCCATTGTTTGACGTTGGATTTGGCATACCATGCTGTAAAGATGCATTTATGACATTCTTGGATGCTAAAACTTAATGCCATACAACATAATAGGTAAAGGATTATTTCAGTACTAGTTATACCGAGTTAATTATTTTCAAATAAGTAGGATCCCAAAAAATGATTTAAACGGCAAAAATAAAGTGTAAAATTATATGAAACATGAAAATTGAAATCCCATTTTTCATCATTTCCTTTTAATATATTGAATACACTATTTACACCAACCACTGGTGAATTATATTCGGATTTCGGTCTTAGGTATCCGTCCTTGTCTCCGGGAATATTATACCCACACAAGTTGTCAACATCCGTTTTCAAACTGTTCAAAGTGTTCTTCACAATCTCCCTGGAAAATATTCACGCTATCACTTCGTGCTCAGATAATAGAACATTGTTAACCTCTAACAGCAAATACGGACCAAAATTAATCAAATTTGAAAGCACGGATGATCACGTGTAATGCCGA